TACCCCTCATTTTCGGAAACTCCCAGCTCTCTCGTGAAGCCTTCTTTGGCTCATCGAACGATCGCTTGAAGGCCAGGTTCCCGGGCGTTGTCTCTCCAGACCTTGGTTGACTGCATACCTCCCATACACATAGAGGGACACTGCAGCTCTAAAGCACCGAATCCCTAAACCCTGCTTCCGAAAAGACTCTAACAGACTATAAGAAAGCATACTTTACTACAGTGTACTACTATATGATAGTATCCCAAAGCAGAGCAACATCGGCTGCCCAACCCCAAATCCCAGTCCCTGCCAAAAGAACCGAAGTCCACCACACCCCAAATTCCCCCCCCCCCCCCAAAAAAAAAAAAACACAGGTCTTTTCTGGTCCCCCGCGTTGTTCATGGCCGCTGTCCAGAATCCTGCCGGCTCCTGGAAGCTTGGAGCTGCTCGTTGAGTATGAGTTTCTGGTAGGGTTTAGGGTTAAGGGTTGGGCTTTTTAAAGTGCTATGGACTTTCGCTCGCACGACCGTCCTTCTTTGGAGTATTTTCGGTTCTGTTGTGGCGGAAATAGGGTGTATAGTTTGGGGGGGGGGGGGTCAGGGTGTAGGCACTATCATGATCTGGAACAGTATCATCCTTACTTCTAAACATCTAACATTATCAGGACATTACGATTATTCTCACTATTGAGTGCTATTGTTACTCGTGCCATTATAATGCTCATGATTGCTGTGGTTCTGCTATAATGATGAGGAGCATCGTTTTTTTACTATTATGACGGTTATTAGTGTTCTGATTGGTAATACTGTCATGATCTTGTAAATGATGTACGTAATTGTTGTGGATGCTACAGCACTTGCGACAAAGGGTTTCTAGGGCATGAACAAATTTAGAGATAGAAGTAGCAATGATAATAACAGCTCTACCGGCGATAATTGAATCACAGACACTTGCAGGAAAGTACAGAGAAGGGGACAGACCGAATACTGAGCAAAGCCTCATTGACAGTGTTTGTGAGTTGGGGAGTCTTGTCTTCAAGGTATGGTGGGAAGGATGCGCGGTCTGGGGAATACAGTAGGTGTTTGCACGGGCAAGCAACGAAGCTGCAACACGATTTGTCTGCAAGCGTAGGCTGAGATGGAATCTCGAGAAGTATTGCTAGTATGAAGCTTGCGGCGAAGTCCTAAACTCGACAACCAAACTCTTACAAGTGCAGAGCACGCTGCAGAAGTGAGACCAAGACGCCAAACAGTCTTGGACTCAACATTGCCCGAATACGAACAGTCACAACATAAACACAAACCAGGACTCCGAAAAACCATGGACCGCTCCTGATCACTTTCCAGCATACCCGACAACAGGGGAATCGCACCGACCTCGGCTTCTTCCGTGCGTAGGCTTGCGGTAGCTAGGCGCCACAGAGCACTTCAAGCACATAAACCCCTCGCTCCCTGCTACCGGCAATCCGTGGCCTGAGAAAAGGCTCAGAATGTCACGGGCTACTCCTGGGGCAAGTGCTGCGAGGTTACCTTCCAAGACATTGTGCCTCGGCACCAGCAGAAAGCTGCGTTGTCTTTCTGTTGCTCTTTACAGGTGGCGATGCGAAGGCGACCTGATGCGACATTGACAGGCTCATGCAGCTGCAAGGTCCTGCAGCAAGTGTGAGAAACACAATCGGAAAGGTAGAATAGCTGGGAACTTCAAGGCACTGGCATCTCCATGCCCGTCTCGATAAAGAACCTCAGGCTCTGAAGCGGCTCTTGCGCAAAACAACATGGCAGCTGATTGTATGCTATCCGCACCATGGTCTTAGCAGGACATGGCAACCACATGCCAAGACAGGAGCATGTGCCCGATGATGTCGAAGGCCACGTTGCCCTTCACCAGCACGTAGTTGGTGCTGTGCACGGCCACCGCCTTGCCGAGCTGTACTGGGCGGGGTCAGGAACCATAAGAACAACAAGCATTCGTTGTGGCTCTTGACCTTACAGCTATCTGAATCATGAACTGCTGGCACTATCAATATCTATGGTCTTGTCATTTTCCTTCTGCGATGATGCTACGACGATTACGAGCTGGAGGTTGCTGATTGGGAGTCTGCTACTCCTCCTCCCACTCCTACTGCTGCCTCCTGCTGCTGCTGTCACTGCTTCTGCGACTGCTGCTGCTCGACGAGGACGAGGACGACGAGGACGAGGACGACTGCAGTACTGTAGCTGCTGCTTGTGACATCCAGTCTTTTTGTTGCTGCTGGCCGCTCGCATGGTGATGTTGCAAGTGATGGTGGTGATCATGGTGGCGGCCGCGATGATGATGATGATGGTGATGATGATGATGGTGACGTTGATTATGAACAATGTCAGTTCTCATATTTCAGATTCTGCCTATTGCCATGCTCGTTGAGCAGCATAGCTTTGAGGTTTCACTCGATCGGATTTGTGGAATTGACAGTCCTTCTGCAACTGCTTCTGAAAAGCTGCTGCCTGCAGCGTTACCCGGAGGTGGCGGCAGAGTCTCTGAGATCTGCGCACGTTGGAAGCTGTGATGAATGGAGTTGTACTTGGCATAGCAGAACTGGCCGTAGTCCTCCGACCAACGCAGAAGCCGCAAAAAATCTCAGACGGAAGATCGCCTGTATGCTGCATGTCCATTCCCGCAATCTTTTCACACTCTAACACCAGGAGAGCTACGACTTCGGAGACAAAAACCGACGAGCAGTCTGTGAGTCAGTCGCAAGCTTGCTCTCCACACCCAAGAAAATTTGATACAACATGGCACAATACAGAATACAATACAACATATGGTGAGAAACCGAGCTACCCGGAAGACCGGAAAGCCCTTAAAGGCTGTGGCCTGGGTGATGTGGAAGTGGATCGGGTACCTGTCAAACAGGACGCTGTGTTGCGAATTTCGATCATCTGCACGAAAAATAACAGCAACCATACTCGGAACGGCAATCATTAGTCATCAATAGCTATGACAGACAATAGCAAGCAGTGTTACGAAATGTTGATCGGAAACTATGTACATCCAACCAGACACGTCGCTAACAGAAGTACATAGTTTGGGGGTGCACCGAGACATCTCTCCGGTCTGACCCATGCGGTAAAACCTCGGTGGTCGGCACGGACAGGATTTAGGGCTGTAGGGTTCAAGCTTCGGGGTCTCAAGTTGCAGGTCGTTGAACTTCAGGTACAGCAAATATCTGGTATCCTGCTTTGGGCTCAGGGTGGGCAGCAACTCCATACAGAAGCCGGAACCTGCTAACTCCAGACGGCCAGTGTCCAACAGATACCTCCTCAGAATTCGTTGCTCAAGCGCTCCGTGTCCAAGATCCCGGCTCAGCGTTCTCGATGCGGTAGATGCCGCCAAACGCCACCTGCAGTCACAGCCGAGAAACTTGCAGAGGGTGCTGGGCTTCAAGCACCAGGCAGCGGATTAGGTCCCGGATCCGACAACGAATGTCTGAACAGACACGGAGCCGACGGAGCCTGCGTGTGACCACCCCACTGGTCAAGCTCGGATGTCCTTAGAGAGGCTCGAGGACCAGGATCAGCCGTGGACCAGGATCAGCCGTTCGCATGAGTCTAGCTCCTTCCAAAACCTGCCACGAGATGAAAACACAGCCCAAGCGCCAGGCGGATCTCCCTGAATCTTCACGTTTCGCGACAGCAATGCGACCTGCCAAGTTTGATTGATTTGCTAGAGGGGAAAGGTTTTGCCAGGGACATGGAGATGAGTGCTGCTCAGCAATGGCGTCCCCTCTGAGACAACAATCAGGACAAGACTTCTGACGATTCAAGGAAGAATCCTTGGAGTCATTCCCACCCCCCTCGGTGCCCTCAAGCCCAAACCTGGACCCACATCCCTCCCACTCCAGGTCCATCATTGGAGTAAGATCTGTAGTCTTTGTTCGACCTCAATGTTTAGAGACGCCAAGCTTTGTCTGGGGCTTTGGGCCGGTTTCAGGGTCAGAGGATGGAAGCCGCTTGGGGCTCAACATCACTTGGGGGGGGGGGGGGTTCAAAGTTTCGTCAGCGCAGCGAAAGGCCCAAACAACCATTGGGATTTGGAGTGCCGGGGGCTTAAAACCCTCATGAAAACCCTGAGAAAACCAGACACAGCCCTAATGAACATCCTGGGTAAAACTCTAAGAAGCCCTCATAAAGCCTGCATACGCACACACACACACACACACACACACACGCACACCCTTGCAAAGTCCCTGTCTCAAGGCCCCGTGTTCCCCTTTTTCCCCTTCGCTATCGGACCTCGGCCGACAAGTCGATGTACTCCTCGTCCAGGGGCCGGACGAAGAAGGTGGAGATGTGCTGGAACCTCGAGGTTCAGAGGGTTTTGACGGTTCAGGGGCCCCCCTGAGGGAGGCTCCAGGTCTCCCTTGAGAGCTCCCATTGAGGGTTTAGGGAATCTCGAAGTTCAGGGCTCTGGTCTGGATGTATCTACAAGTCGTCACACTCCCCGAGGCCTATAAAGACCATGTACAAAGCTCTCAAGCCCTGGATCTGAGACACCAGGGCCCCAGCTCCAGCGGCGCCGTGAGGTAGATGGTCTTCATGTCGGAGGCCACACTTCGAATGAACACACGCCTGGGGTCCGTTATGGGAGGTCTGTTGATCTGGGAAACTGCTGCAGGTACGATGAAAGGGGCACTCTTCATGGTCAGTCTGCTGGATCATGGTGCCCGATCGAACGGAACTCAGCTAAATAGCCGCAACCGTGCTGTAAAACCCTAAACTCGGGCTGGGGTGGTGCAATGCTTTGCACAGCTGAAACCCAAAGTTTGGCTCTTGCTTTGCATTTCACCCGGATGGAAAGGTGCAAAGCTGGAGGTTGCTCAACCTGCCCCCAAACCCTCCTTGGGCCCAAGTCGTCAACCCCGGGCTCCGAGTCCAAGGATCCCACCGAGGGTCCGACGCTACAACGAAATCGATATCTGCGGCGCTATTGGGGCATTAGTGGATATGATTTGTAGCTGATGTGTGCTGCTACAAAGCTCTTGCAGCTGTCCTGCTACGAACAGAGAAGTATCGAATCATTTCTGAAGCCTCGCACCCACACTAACCTAGGCCTGAAGCACCGCACGATCGAAGCTAAGGCACTAGCCCCTAGACCTGAGGCCCTACACACCACTAGACTCTACATGGGAGTTTCCGAAAATAGGGACCCTAATATAGTACCCTAAAATAGTAGGACCCTTATTATAAGGACCCCAGAATAAGGTACCCTAGTTTTCGGAAACTCTCACATTCTACACCAGCTCTACCCGGCAAACTCCGATGCAAAGCTCCGGGCTCGTTCTGGAAGTCCACTGGCCTTCAGCCGGAGGGGGCGATCATAGCCACACAGCCTATCCGTGTTATCTCTGTAGTGGTACAAGTCAGAATGTCACCCAGGGTTATGGCGCATGCTGCCTGCGACGGATTTGGCGCAGACAGTCGGGGCTGCCGTTTCGTCTGCTTGGTGTCCGTACCAGTCTTGGCCACGTGTAGCTCTAGGCTGCCGTTTCCTGCTCCATGGCACAGTTGCAAAACTTATGCGTCGTTAGAGCCGTTGAACAGAGCTGGAACGGTTTTTAAGACCCCTTCGCGCTGGACCGGTCTGGCAGGAACCACAGTACCGCAGACTGTTTAGCAATTGCGGGTGTGAGGCAAGTCTCTGCTTAACAAGAGGTCATGGACCCCCTGAGCTCTCGAACAGATTTCCCATCTACTTTCGAAACAGGTCTCTCTTCCGGGCTTCTCGTGTTACGGAGGCATCGCGAGTGTAACAGCCTCTGTTGATGAGCCCCGGACGGTGCTCCGTGCAAACCGTTGCCGTCGAAGTGCTTGTGTGGGATCTCCGTGGCCTTGCAGGGCTGCGGCTTTGTGCAGGGATGCTATTATTAGCATTCTTAGTATAATTCTTGCTATAATTAGCATGATTACCAGTTTCAGTATTGTTCTAGTACTGTCATTATTTCTGCTACAAGTACCACCCTTGGTACCATGAGAAGTACCGAAGGTTTCAACTTCGGACATCTCAGGCCCCGACGGCCACCATCAATTCCTCCCCTGCTTGCCAGTCCACGATGTCCTCCCAGGCCCACCGAGTCAGGGCTTACCCTGACCCCCCAGGTACCTACTATAAATATATATATATATATATATATTTTTATATTTATTTATTTATTTATTTATTTATTTATGTTTATTTATTTACTTACTTATTTATTTATGTATTTATATTTATAATTATTTTTTATGTTTATATATTTATTTATTTATTTATATAGGGTACTAGAGCCCCCAGGGCCCTACATAGTAGGTACCTGGAGGGTTAGGGTTAATTAGGGTTTAGGCCGCGCTCATGCGGAGCAGTACGAAGAGGGAAGAATGCCAAAAGTTGTGGGAAGCATACTGCAGTCACAAGCCGTGCACACCGCACCTGCAGGACGATCTTCATGTCTCCAGCCTTGGCTGTTTCCGCCAGCCTTGTCCACACCTGGCAGATGCTGTGCGGGCTCCAGGTGCGCAAAGGTGCGATGAAATGCTCAGCGCGACCCCCGGCAATTTGGCAAAAGCCGTGAAGACGGCAAACGTGAAACCCCCACAGCAACGCTTGCCCCTAAACCTAAACCCTAAACTCCAAATCCAAGCCCTTGCACAGCCTGCAACTCAAACTGCAATCACAGAGTTCTCTGCCCCGCCTCTCCAAAAGCCTGTGATCCCAACCTTGTCCAACTCCCAATCCACTTCCCATAAATACTCACAGGAGCACCCATACAGTCCCCATCTGGCGAACCCAAAACCCTGTCCTAATTACAACCCTGAAACCTGGAACCGCGCAGAAAGTCTGCCTTGAGACGGGGCCGGCCGTGGATGTCCATGGTTCCGATCTCAGCATGGGGCTGGGGTGAAAGTTGGGCACTGGGGAACAGAGTTTAGGGTTCAAGGCTTAGCGTTTGGGCTCCTCGAAGTTCTGGGTTTCAGGAAAGTTGCGGTTTCTGACCTTGCTTTGGGACTGGATGCATCGCATCCCTCATTTTGTCGCAAGGGTTTTGGTTCACTGTTCATGGCTCCAACCTCGGGCCCCGCACATTACCCTCCTCAACGGCATTGTCGCCCAGCTCGCGGTAGGTAAACCTGGGCTGTTGTACGATTATCAACCGGTGCTGTTCGTCAAGAGCCAAAAGGTGACTTCACGAATCCAGCCCGGGCGCTGCGTGTTGGAGACGGCCAGCACCTTGCCTCCAATGACGGGCCTCACAGGTGCAGACCAGCAAGGGAGAACGCATCAGTCTAGATTCAGAAGCAGCTCCATGAAACGAATATAGTTGTTATGTGGGGGAGAGCTGCCATTGAAGTCATCTGAACTCCTTAAAAATCCGTCGATCCTATATAAGTCGCTCATCCGGCTTCTGAGATCTGCACAAACGGATGGTGGAGTACTTGAAGCCGTAGAGCGTGATCAACGCCTGGCTGCTACAGCAGGCCGTATAGGGGCCTGAAGCATTAGAATAATTAGGGTCTGGGGGTGTTTCCGGGACTATGAAGGGTATGCATCTGCTCAGTATTCAGACCCCTGGTTGGAGGCATTTACAGGTTAGGCCTTCATGGGTGACCAGCATAGCGCAGGTTATGAATTGAAGCACCCGGCACTGTAGAAACCCTTCACCAACAAGCAGGGTGGGGAGGGCTTTCGTGGTTTTCGTGCAGCTACCGCATCATTCTTAACCAAGACGCAGCTGAATTCATCCGGACCACCCATCTAACCCTAAACTCAATCGAATGCAACTGAAGGCGGCGGGACCCGGTGCATGAATGGCTGGGATTCCGTTCCGATCTCGAAGGTTCCACCCTGCAGCATTCAGGACGCAGGACTTCACAGGAGGGTCCTACAGGTCTTACAGGATTCGGACTCTGCCCTTTCGAAGGGAAGCCCTCTGATCCAGTCTGTGCCGGCTTAGAGGACGAGGCTTCGGCAACAGAGCGCAGGAAGAGGCAAGGAACAGCATGGGAGCAGGAGAACGAAGGCGGACAGCCTAAACGATAGGAAATCCCAGATTGTCGTGTAGTGTGGGAGGCGGGTTTCCCGCGGTGTTGCGATGGAGTGCGTTCTGCTTGTCATTCCATTCCCAGTCGTGAGTGTTAACCGTCGCTTCGAAACTCTTCGCACGTTGTACGATTGCAACAGAAATTGTAACATGAGGGGTTTAGGCAGAGATGTTCGGACTTTCGGGTGTCGGTTCGGCTCTCCGCTGGCTGCAACAAACCAGAAATGCGGACGCACCAGATAACACCAGACAGAAAACCCTTGAACCCGGACCGTAACAACAGCAGTTGTTACGTGGCAGTGGCAGCAGAAGCGTCACCACCAGCAGCAGCAGTAGCAGAAGTAATCACGATAAATGTAATACTAGTAGCACGAGCAATAAAAACAACCATCGTGATTATCGCAACCATAACTTTCGGAGCAGTAGTACTGATAGTAAGAACAGTCAGAACAATGAGAACGAACATTATCGTCGTGATCACAACCATGAAGTTATGAAAGACGTTTAGCTTTCAGATGCGCTTTAGGGTTGGAGGGTCTTGGCTGCGCGGGTTCAGGGGCTAGGAGAGGGCCTGCCTTCACCCAGATGTACGTAGCCTGGAGGTGGATGTCCTTGTTATCGAACACCAGAACACCTGGTGTCTCAGAGCTGCTAGAAACTCCAACGCTGCATAGTGGAGGATCCCTTCGTGATGCCTACATTAGGAATCCTAGTTCTTTGAGGGATCTTGACCCGTCTAGACAAGACCTGGCGATCGTTTCGCCGGTCCAACATCGATCGGAAGTATCCGAAACCATCTCCCATCCTATCCGAGGTTGCTACGCTGCTACGACGGACAGAGCTGAACCACCCTCAGCAGCAATATGCCTCAGTCCCGCCTTCCACGCTAAGCATCAGCAGCTTCGGTGTGTCTTGATCCTAAGCAGGTGTTCCAGCAGCTTTCAGGGGTCGGTTGCGAAGGGGCTTCCTGGATGACCTGTGGCCTGGACACGAGGCTTCGACAAAGGCGTAGCGTCTTGAGATTGTTGGGGTGTCTGTAGCTGTGCAAGAATACATTCGCAAAATCGATCACGCCGTCCACGCTTTGGTTGCTGCTCTTGCTCCAAACCCTACACCTGAGTTCGTAGCTGCCACTCGCGGCACGACCCGCGACATAACATACCGCCTGTTCAACCGAAGCCTGATCGGGATGTGTACGATTTAGGAGGCAGCGCCAAAGTACAATCCACATGGGCCACAAACCATCCACAAATCAAAAACATAACACAACTGTAAAGACAGCAAAATCTTGAAGCAGCAAGCCAGCAGCATGGTAATTGCATGTAATTATGTAACGGTTATCATACTGACTATGAGCATGCCTTTTATGTAGCAATACCGGCAGCTGCACCAAGCAGCAGCAGTCGCTTCGTCTAGCAGGAGCAGGAGCAGTCCCAGGAGCAGGAGTAGAAGCCAGGAGGAGGGAGCAGCAGCAGCAGCAGCAGCGGCAGCGGGAAGAAGTAGCACGTCCAAGCAGGATGCGGCGGTAGCAGTACCAAGTACCAAGAATAAGACTCGCAGGTCGGCTCCCGAATGCACTGAGTCCCCAACCAATAAAATGGCTTGCCCCGTTGGAATGATCACCAGAGCATCGTCCAATGGGGGTTCCTCTGCTTGGGCTAGGTGGGCGCTCTAGAATTTTGCAGGGCCCATCCAAACCGACAGGGTCTTAACAGAGGAGGTGGCTTGGGCTGAGGGAGCTTGGCTTGAGGGAGCTCTTTTGAAGGATTCAGGGCTCTAGAAGTCTACAGAGTTGGAGTTCTTGCTTCCTGGCCTTGGTGTCTGCCCCTGAACCCCAAACCATGAACCCCTACACCCTAAATGGTCCTGGTTCGCCCAGGTGTCGAGCAGAGACCAGCGGTCGAGGTACCGCCAACCTAGGTCGGCGTACGTTTTGGTGGGTGCTCGGGTTTGGGGTGTAGGATTTGGCTGTTACATGAAAGAAGGATTGAGCAACCCACGGAGTCTGAGTGTACACGACTGCGGCGTCAGATGTATGCACAAGGCCTGATATACCGATGCAGAGCGCTGCTTTGCTGTCTTCGTTTGTCTGGAGGATGCAAATCCTGCTGCTTCGCATGTTTGCTTTGTTGACAGCCTTCCCCATCTCTCTGCCTCTGTCGCCAACTCCATGTTTTTGTGTCGCCAACGAGCTCACGAGCCATCAGCTGTACGTAAACACTATTATCTATGTTGAGGGCTATATTCATTCCCTCAAACTTTCAAGTTTGGGGTGGCACGGCATGGCTTTTCAGCGACCGAGCACATATCATCCCGTCAGACCAGAAGCTCGGCTTTCCAAGAAACAAGTGGGTAGTTGTCAAAATTAGGGTCCCTTTTGGGGTACCCTAAATAATAGGTGCCGTATTATAATAAGGACCCAAAAAGGGACCATAATTTTGACAACCACCCAAGTTTCAACGTCGAGGCTGAGCCACTCTGGGGCAGCGGCGCGTGTTTGGTGCGACCCAAGCACTGCCAGCACCTGGCAACGTCCACCTCACCTTCAGTCCCGGCTTAGCCCTTACAGTCGGTTGAAGATGCACACGAAGCACGTGAAGTTTGAGGAATGTGCGAGATTGCACCATGCTCCCAGGCAACTTCAGTGAGGCAGCCAATGTACTCAAGATCATTCGGCCCAGGTAACTAAGATCCTATACGGTCCTGTACCCTGAACGCTGGGAAGCACGGCGGCACGCTGCCCGAAAGTGAATTCGGCTGTAACCTACGGACTACTGCGACCTCTCCAGGCCATGTGACTCAATCCTGAAGTCCCAAGACTTCAACGCAAACCCTAAACCCTAAACCCTAAACCCTAAACTCCTGAAGTCCCAAGACTTCAACGCAGAAGGGTAGGGCCGTAGGGCCTCCCAGGGGATCTTGAGGCCTTAGGGCCCCAGGGTTTAGGGCCTAGGGCCTTCTACATCAACCCAAAGTGTGCGAAGTCAAGGCCCTGCATTTCCGGAGTTGATGAGGGTTTAGGGTTTAGGGTTTAGGGTTTAGGGTTTAGACTTCCGTTTTTCAGAAGTTGGCTGATGGCCGTACAATCGCGAAGCAGCGTGGTGCAATCGTGCAACCCCTGGGGGCCTGAAACGAAGACCTTCACGCTCGGCGCAAAAATTCCGCGGTTCCGAGGCGTTGTGACCTGGAGGAATGGAGGCTTGGGCTTTCTATAGCTTTCTTCTCTCGGCTTTCGTATTTGGAGCCTCCACACAAAACCCTGAAGCATGCAAGGCCTGCGACAGATCGTCGCTCACCTCCGAAACCCTCAAATCCTGCACCGACTGGGTAAGGCAAAGCAGCCAAGCTGGCTAGGAGACCTTGGGGAATCTGAAAACCTGACAGACTAAGCCCCAAGCGCCACGACGCATGTTGATCTTGCTAAGGCCTGAACGCACTTGACATAGGTCGGGGCCACCTGGCCAAGGGCCCGAGCCGGACTTGCATAAGGGTTTAGAGCGGTGTAGGGTTTAGGGCCACTTGAGGGTTTAGGCTTTGCACTTGCGTAAGCATTGAGAGTTCAGGGCGTAGCATGAGCAGGAAAAGCGTCTCCCCGCCGGACGGCGCGAGTGATACCGATGGTGAGACTTGCATCCGCCGCTTCCGCAGAAGTTACCTGTCAAAGTCCTACACCTAACTTCTGCAACACCGGCGAGTACAAAAAAGCCTTTGCAGTAGCCTACATTGGTGGAGGAGGTCGAGCACGCGGGCGAGGATTACTCCAGCAAGGATGCTTTGAGGTGCGAGACAGCCTAAACATACAAAGCCAACGATGAAGTCGTCCTCGTCCGCAGTAATAAATGCTGGTTGCAACACCGATGCTGACGATGACGGTGACAACAATGATCACGGCAGAAACACGACGGCGACGATGGCAACTATCATCGCGATAAGCTTCATGGTTGCAACGAGAAGAGGGCAAATAGGTAATTATGTAGGTCCCTTTTTCTTACACGAATCTGGGACTCCGACACTCCCGAATCCCTTGCAAGCCCGGCCTCCTGCACGGAGCACTCATAGCCATTGAACTCCACAGTGACCGGTGCCTTTCGGTCGGGGGGGGGATGGGTTCAGGGTGAGCATCTGAATTTTGGTGCACCTTATGTTGTTGTTGTTGTTGTTGTTGTTGTTCATGATAATCGTGAGAACTCATGGACAAACTGGCGTTCTTCCGTCAATGGCGATTGGTCATCGCTCGCTATTTCCGCTTCGCTGCACTGCTGAAACTCGCAAAAACTTCTCTACAGCCGTTACAGCACGCAACTGCTTCACAATACATTTCTGTCCACAGACATGCATCCGCAACTTCAACCGCGCCGCAAGCATGCATCTACCAGGAAGCATATGCACAAACCGCGCTACCCGGGGCAGCAAATCGCTGAACCCAGATGCAGAAGGCTTGTGACGTACTGCTCTCCTGGTTCTCTGCTGACAGAGTTGAAGTTATTTGCAGAAGTGTTGGACCTCCCAATGACACACGCGGCTACTGACCC